CATTCCAGGTCTCTCTGCAGAGTCCTCCTCCCTTCCAACAGATCAACACACACTCCCAGCTTAGTGTCATCTGCAAATTTACTAATGAAAGACTCAATATCCTCATCCATGTCATCAATAAAGATATTGATCAGAACTGGCCCCAGCACAGACCCCTGAGGGACACCACTGGTGACTGGCCCCCAGCTGGGTGCAGCACCATTCACCACCACTCTCTGGGCCCGGCCATCCAGCCAGTTCCTAACCCAGCACAGAGTGCTCCTGTCCAAGCCTAGGCTGCAGCTTTTCCAGGAGTGTGCTGTGGCAGACAGTGTCAAAGGCCTTGCTGAAGTCCAAATAGACACATCCACAGTCTTTTCTGCATCCACCATGAGGTCACCTGGCCATATTGGTCAAACACAACCTACCCCTCTTAAACCCATGCTGCCTGGGTCTGATCCCCTGGCCATCCTGTAAGTGATGACACTCAGTATAAACTTCCATTACCTTACTGGGTAATGAGGTCAGGCTCACTGGCCTATAATTACCAGGATCCTCCTTCCCACCCTTTATGTGAATGGGTGTGACACTGGCCAGCTTCCAGTCATCTGGAAACTCACCAGTGAGCCAGGACTGCTGGTAAATGATGGAGAGTGGGTTTGCAAGCTCATCTGCCAGCTCCTCATCACCCTGGAGTGGATCCCATCTGGGCCCGTAGACCCAGGGACTTCTTAAGCTTTCAAGGTGTACTTTAAGTATAGGAGACCCATATATGGGCTCTTTATTGTTTTAAAATCCCATTATTTCTTTGTCTTCTACATTTCTACATGAAGAAGAAGTTTACATGTAGTTTATGTCTTGTAAATTGTCCTTTGTGTCACTGGGCAGTGATTCCAGTGGGAAGTATCACAGGAATGGAGTACCCAGGATAAATGAGTATATTGGAGAACCTCTGTGCTATCTAGCATCGTTGGAAGAGGGTATTTTGCTTCAGAAACTTGGAAGGATAAATAGTGATTTCTGAAGCACTTGAACTGAAGCCCTTGAACTGATTCAAAGAAAATGGCTCTAAGTACAGGTCATCTTGAAAAATCACGAAACAAAGGTCCTTTAGGTACAGTGGGTTTCTATTCAAAGCAAAAAGGAACATGTTTACAATGAATAGTGAACTTCTTACTCATTAAAATTTTCAATGTCAAGTAATTGGATTTTTTTTCTTTTCAGTTTGTTTGCTTTTATGCAGTAAGGAGTGTGGAAGTGTATTCAATGTGTCAAATTTTTTCCATTCAGAGATGCAGGCTGAATGTAGGTATAAAATCTGTTTCTTCTCTCATCACATGATGAAAATTGATTGAATCTGTTTTTTGTGAGCTGCTTCTCCAAAAGGTGTCAATGATCTCTTTCAAAGAGAAATTTCTCAGCTGTTCTATAGTGTAGAAAGAGAAATGCAAGGAATATTATGAAAATAAATGGGGTTTAGTGTTTTTTTTACTATTGCTGTTTAGTATATAAGGCCAAGAGTATAGGAGTACAACACCCAAATTTTTTCAGAAGAGTTCAAAGTCTCCATCTTCAATCAGCAGATAAATACTACATATTATTCAGAATTTCCTGCTACTGAAATTCCCAAAAGGTACTTCTGTTTTGAATCTTTACCTCCTTTTCCATACTAATCTCATTGTCCCTTATAGCATGGAAGCTTAGAAGAGTCTATGCCTTAGGAGATACTTTAAAAAAAGAAAACCAGTGGAAAAAAATAAAAAAAACAAGTTTAAAATACAATTACAGTTCCATGAAGATTTGCTAATTCAGTTTTTAGAGGATTTATAGTTGTTGGAGTAGTTGTCTGTTATCATCTTGGATATGTAATTAGAAATTGGAAAACCTCAGGGTGTGACCACACATCCAATTCCACCTCTGTGGAACTGCACTCTGTGCAGTTCTGCTTTCACTTCTGAAATAAGAAAAAAGGGAAGAGAGGGAGCATGTAATTCTCTCTATATGTTGTATGGGGACATTAACAGAAATTTCAGTTCCAAAATCTTTTATATTTTTGAAGAAAAATAATGAGCAGCAACAAAGGGGAACAGCCACACAAAATTTCCTGTGCCTGTTAAAAGCCCTGCAGAACATGCAAGTTCTTGGGAAATTAGTGCTTTTGACTTAATTTTCATGCTTTTCATTTACTGAAAACTTATTCTCATTGACATCTTTCTAAAGGAGGAGAGCAGTATTGGGTACTAAAGATTGTAAATTTTTCTCTGGCAATAATGAACCCCTTTGGTCCCAGCCATGGGCAAGTTAATACACAAAAATAAAATTAGAGATGGTTTCGAAAATTTTTTCCAATAATAAGGAGTGAAAGCTAATTATTCAACAATAATAATGAAATTTAAAATACTAAACAAGATAAAATCTTGTTTAATGATGGGTGCATACTATATCCATTTGCTTAAACCCTAAGACCAAAGGAAAGAAGATTGTTTCTTTGCTCAGTGCCCCAGGTCTTTTGCAGCTATTCTTGACTTCAGAGAGCTTCTTAAGACTTTCCCAAAGAAGCAAAGGATAAAACAAGTCAATCCTATCACAGACATCTAAAAGTTAGATGCCTTGAATAAGGCTTTGTAGTTAGTGAAGAGAAACACCCTGTAATTCACCTCGGCCTGGTTAAAGCACCTCAGTGGAGCAGGGTGGGAGTACTTCCATCTGTAGATTGTGAAAGAAAGGTTATGGTGACCAATTTAGATATGGATGTGTAGAATCAGAAGCAAATCCCACCACAGTGCTTATCCTGACCATTTCTGGAGTTTTCCTCTCTTTCCCCTACACAATAGAACATAGTAACTTCAGAATTCAAGTTTATCTATATGAAAAACAACATTTTTGGTGATGCTTCCCATTTTTTTATCAATAATTATAATTTGGAAAATCATTTATATAATTATGTAGAAGCAAAAATTCTTCAAATGTCTTTGAGAGGCTTCTTTTATTACATTCCTTTGCCCTGTTTTTTTTCACAGATTTCTTCCTGTTGAGTAATACCTTATTCATCTCACAGTTCTTTTAGTGATAGTTTTCCTGTTACTATAATTAGTCATATATTGGTGTAAAAAAACTTTCCTTCTAGATTTGAGTGCTGCTCTGAAATAGTACTTATCTCATTCTATGAATCTATCCTGATAATCCTGCATGATCAACCTTTGACAAGGAAATATTAATTTTTTTTTACCTCCTTCACATTTCTATGGATCATGCCTTGCTGCACGTTGTACTAAATTCTGCATGCATTGAAATTCTCAGAAGGTATTGCTTAAGTGAAATGTTCTTCTTGATCTGGTAATATTACCATACTGTCTGTGGTGATCAAAAGGTCTTTATGCTGTGCATGCTGAGATAGAGAGTGGTACTGTAATTTACAAGGCCATTGACAAGGTGTGGTGGGTTGACTGGGTTCACCAGCTAAGCAGTGCACAGCTACTCAGCTGTTCTGTCTCCAGTGGGACAGGGGAGACAATAGGAAGAGCAAAGGTGAGAAAACCTGTGGGTTAAAAATATTTAATAAGCAAAATAAAGAGGAATAATGAAATGGAATAAAAAAAATCATTCATAAGTAAACACTGACCACCTCCCAAAAATAGGTCAGTGCCCAGCCAGGCTCTGAACAACGTCTCTCATCCCAAAATACCTCCCCCTGCCTCAGTTTTTATTGCTAATCCTGGTTTTATATGGCAGAAAATATCCCATTTAATCAGTTTGTGTCAGTTACCTTTGTTGTGTCCCCTCCTAACTTCTTGCACACCCTCAGCCTACTCACTGGGAGGCAGAGTGGGAATATCTTGATGCCATGGAATGACTTCTCAGCAATAATCAAAACAGAGGTATTTTCTACATTTTTAGTCACATTTTCAAAACACCGTATGGTCCAAACCAGCACCATGAGAGACTGCCATGAACAAAATCCAGCCATCCCAGCTCTAGCCCTTAGTCCACAGACTGTATGCTATGCTCAAGTCTTACACTATCCAGTACAACATTACTAAGCACCACTCTCCTGTCATGTGATAAATATATATATATATATATATATATATATATGGTTCTCATAGTCTATGGATGACCCCTGTAAAACATTCATAAAATGTCCATTGAGCTGTTTGAAGCATGACTTGCTCTTCATGTGTTGTGGTGGTTGCTCAGGACAGGAGAGATTGTGTTAAAATGTTGGCTCATGTTGGGACATCACGGTGCTTGCCTGTCTTCTTGCAAGGCTCATTCTCCATTGGTTCAGGTGATTCTTTACTTAGTACATCATATAAAATGCAAATCAAATCACATTTTATTTTCCCCCAGGGTTTAATGTCCTTGGGACATACAATAGATATCCCTGTTCTTCCACATTACCCATGAGTGGTACCCAGGTCTTTCAGCAAATTGCCCTATAGCCCTGGCTCCAACACCCCTGATGCCACTGACCTTGGGTGTCTGCAGGTGCCTTCTGCCAGAGACTCCAGTGGAGCTGTGATTCCTGGCAGCAGCATTGAGAACATTCCTCTCATCTGCTCCTGTCTGGAGTGGCCCATGGGGACTGCATGAACTATATGCTGCTTGATCTGTGCAAAAGTTCAGGCAAAACAGTTCTCTTGGATCGCTCAAGAGAGAACTCACAAGCAGACTGCAAGTCCTAGAATATGCATTCTATAGAATCTCATAGTATCCAGGAAAGTTTATTTTTCTTTGTCTGCTAATCACTGGGGACAGGACTTCTGTCTCATTGTATCTGTTGGGTGTGATGATGCCCCTCTTGCCATCTTATTCTCCATAACTGGATCTCTCATATAAGATCTTCCTTTATTTTATTGAAAAATCAGCTTTCAGAATAAAAGCTTTAAGGAAAGTTTTGTCACAAAATCCATCCTTTCAAAAAGCCTTCAGCTCTACACCATTAAACTTAGTCCACTCCAAATTCATTCTCTCCCTGAGCATTTATCTGTTGATCCATTCTCAGGTTACCTGTAGAAGCTTGACTGTCCAGAAACATCTCAGCATAAGTCTGGAAGGAAACCTCCTCAGTGTAACTCCTTGTTCTGCCCTGACCATCTCTGGAAGCTGACCAGGAACCTGCAGACAGGTCTGAGAGTTTCAATGTTAATTATGCAGGACAATTTCTAGTCTTCATCAGTAGTATTTTATTTGAATCAGTATTGGAAGTCTTTTTTCTCCTTAAAAAAGTATGGGCTAGAAAACTAAGCAAAATAGACCTCTTAAGGATCTCATTTGAAATATCTTTAAAGTATGAATGTAAAACAATTGCAACTGCTCTTCAAGAACAACTTTATAAAACTAATTTGTACACACAGGCATAATTTTCCCTAGAGCATTTCTTCTATGCTTACCTCTGATTTGCTCTTTATTTATCTAAAATGTTTATTGAAGCAAAATAAAATGCATATAATTTATGTCTTTGATCACTGAGTTGTTCCTTGAAAAAAGAAAACTGAGTTCATGTGACATATTTAATTTCCATTTATGTCTGATCAATTTTCTAGAAACTTTTAATACTCCAAAATATTCAAATATATTTTAAAATAATTCTCAGGTTACTGTATGAATTATCACCCATGAATTCTTAATGAAACTCACCTGGAACTGTTGACTTGAATATATATATTAAATCTAAATATACACTACTCCCACCATCACTGTCCCCATAGTGTATTCCATTTTTCATGGTGTTTTCCATAATCCATTAAAATTAATTTGACTTCCATTTACTATTGTGAAGACTATTGTAAAGCAACAAAAGTGTTGAATGCCCCAGCACTGTCTGCAGTTTGCCTTCCCTTTTGTTTACTAAATCACTCTCCTTTAATTTCCTTTTAGTCATGATACCTCAATAGAAATTTTCTGCAACTTCTCCAACTGAAACATATTTCATATCACAGTCCTGAATTTTTCAGTCTAAATGTTTGTTATTCCTCTATAGCACAGATTTTTCCAGACCTCACACATTCTCTTTTGATTTTTGGATATTTGAAGATTTGCTAACTCTGTCTCTGAATTCTTTAAACAAGTTTACCTCTATATATTTAGAACAGTATATATTTAGAACAGTCGCTTTCAAAAGTTACCTGTTCACTTGAACATCTTTAATCCCTTATATTTTCTTCCCAGGAAGTCTCAGTCTCATCTCCCTAGGCTGTGTCAAAGCCGTTTTCCCAATTCCCCAGTAGCAAGGCTGTTATTTCATTATCCTTCCTCCAGTTTATTTCCCACCTTTGGGTTTTCAGTCAATTTCTTTCTGACAGTTAGATATGAGACACTGCTTTCCCAAACCTTCCTGAAACCAGAAGTGTGTCCTCAGCACTGACAATCTGATCACTTGCTTTGCCTGCACCCTGACACATGGGATTCTTGTAATCAAAAGGTTATAAGGATAGCAAAAATCTACCTTTATTACCTGTCCTTCGGGTGGTTCTTAGGGAAGCTCAAACATTCCTTCATCTGTCTCCTCTTCCGATTTTCATGTAAGATCCCGAGCACAAAACAATGTGTTCTTCCCCCTTTTAATCTTCAGCCACAGATAGCATACAAGTTTCTTTCCTATCTTTTCCTGTTCCTTATTTGATGTTATTTTGTTGTATTACAAAGACAGCACCAGGTTTTCTTTTTATTGAAAAAGAGGAGAGTTCAGGCAAAAAGATTTATTTATTTTTGACTTTTGTCTCAAAAAGTCTCCTACTCTTAGACTTCATCAAAACTTTACATGATGCACATAAAACAACCTTATCTTTTTCTGCATGAGAAGAGAAAATTAGCTATTCCCTGCCTGGTAAGACAGAAAAAAGTCTGTTTTTCTCATATACTTTAGATTCTAGACAGATGAAAACAACAGAAAGGCTGAGGCTGGAAGGGACTTCTGCAAGTCATCTAGTTCAAACCTTTTACTCAAAGCAGACCAAAGTTCAGGTCTGGTTGATCAGGATCTTGTCCTATGAGGTTTTGAATATCTCCACAGATGGAGAAGATGATGAAGAATTTTTAATTCTGTTCAATAAAATTATCTTGCTTATAATTTCACATAAATGCCCTATCTGGCTTTGAACATATATTCTGTGTCTGCTATATGTTTTGACTTCCTATGGAAGTCAACAGTGACTGGGAGAGCACATGAAGTTTTTATTTTTCTAGCTGTCAAAACCTGTTGTAATTACATAAACTTGTTATGAGGAAGTGCAGGGAGAGAAAGTCCTGAAAGGGCTAACATCTAGCCTTGGTTTAAGGAGAGCACTTATCTTATCAACCTACTGTTAATAAACTCACTAAAACAATAAAGACCCAGATTTAATTTTAACTTGCTTTACTGGCCTGCTTTAGCAATGGCTAAAGGTGATAGCTTGGAAAAATATTAATCAGAGTCAGCTATTTAAAGTCAGACATGTTTTTTGGCAGTTTCTTCAGGAAAGTTCATCTAACAGCCATCAACCATGAAGATTCTTAGATACCTCCTGGTTTACCGAAGGTTCCTGCTCATTGTCCTCACCCCACTGCTTTTACTTCCACTTCCACTTGTCATCAAAACCAAAGTAAGTGACCTGCTTGGAGAGATAATTATTTTGCACCTGCATGTAAAGTCTGAGATTCCCAGACATTTTCAGATTAACATAATCACAGATAGTTTGAGTTGGAAGGGACCTTAAATGAATAATAATGTTTGCATTCTGATTTATTTTTTTTGTCAACAAAGTGTATTTTCACAGAAACATAGAGAAGACAGCTTCAATGTAAAATTCTGTACTGGATGCATGAAGCTCTGAATCACATATTTGCTTTTTAACAACATCTGGGCTACATTGAAAATATTGTTCTCATTATTATTTTCTGGACTCTTTTAAACAGCTCTGTATAATCATAGTGGAGATGTATAATCATAGACAGTGGAGATGAATTGTCAGGAAAAGAGCTGCAATTACTTTTTGTTTAATGAAAGATTTTAAGTTCATCACATTTTGTACTGTCTGATAGGAAATTACTGAAATCAGTGATCTGACAAATTCCCTCTGGTTCCTAAATGGAGCAATATCTATGACAGGACACCATAGTTTTATTTTACTTGAAGTAAGTTCTGGCACTCACTAACTCTTGTGACAACTCCAAGCTGATGAAACAGCTATCTAACAATGTCATTAGTGACTCTATTTGGTACAGCTCTGATGAATGAAATGGAATTCTGAGATGAGTTATTATGTGTGCATTATACACCATGTATGACAAAACATGAAAATTTTGTTCAGAAGTCCTTGCACCACAGTTTGATGGTGGTTACAGAGCAATGTGCTTCACACTCTCACATCACAGTTTTCAATATTTCAGTTTCCTTTCTGAGAGGAAACTCATGGGAAATTCTTAATGTCTCACTTAAGTGAGATGAACATTTGCTAGGTGAATGGATATTTTCAAATTGTTTCATACATAACAAAAATTTCTTGCCCAAAATAAATGATAGCCACATCTCACTGATTTAGGTTTAATATTGTTGTTTTCCAGTCTAAGGTTCCAAGAGCCACATCATTAAGCTGTTCCTTTCCCAGTACAAACCGTCTCTGCTGATGTTGAGTAATTTCATACTCTAAACAATGGCACTAAGCGTTCCAAACCTTTTTCCTTAAAAGCAGAAATATAAATTAAAAACTACACAAAAGATATTTCCAGTACTCTGGAAGAAACTAAGTTTACTTCACGTTAATATATTTGTCTGGCGCTGCATTTTACAAGCAACATTGGAAATTATTCTGAGAGAAAAAAAAAAAGGAAAAAAGAAAAAAAATTTCTGGTTTTAAGGAGTTGAAACAAAAGATACTCACTAAAATTACAATCCTTAAAAACAAAAGCTGTGTTTATCAGGCTTTCATCATACCTTTTTTGTTAGATAATATCCTTGCCTTATTGCTACTGATGACAAAACTTCAGGAGAGAAAAATTTGATGAGTTATTGACCGTGAGTACTACTGGAGTCTTAAAGGTTTGCTGACAGAGGCAGAATGCCTTTGATTTATTGGAATTCATGGCCTGAAAATGCTCCAGAATGACCTAGATGATTAATAGTCCTTGAAGGAATAGGCAGCTGACTTTTTTCCCACCTTTCCTGAGTGATAGAATTTAAATAATTTTACTATCTCTTAGAAAAAAATCTCTACACTTCTTTTACTGAGTGTGTTTCATATCTCAGCAGGATTGTTAATAGCACACAATAACTAAATTAAATTCAGGTCCTTTGACTCATACATTTTCCAGGTGTGAGGAATCTCTCTAATGATGGAGCTTTACTTTTTGAATTGTGGTGGTTTTTTCTCTTGGATGATCAACTCATGTTTTTTATTGGTGCCTTTCGTATTCTAGGAAGCAGAATGTGCATACACATTGTTTGTAATTGCCATCTTTTGGCTCACAGAAGCTTTGCCACTGGCTGTTTCAGCTTTGCTTCCTGCCTTTATGTTCCCGTTGTTTGGTATAATGGGATCCAAGCAGGTAATCTTTATTTTTCTCTCTTTTATACGGTGCATTTCAGGAATCAAAACTCCAAAGAGCGAAACGCATAATGTTGAAACATGTCAGGCAAATCCATGGATTTTCTGAGTGCCAATCACAATGGTTCTACCTCAAGACTTGCTTGCATGCTTTGTCTTCAGGACTTGTTCACATTTCTTTAATAATTTCTTTAATAATTTCTTCTAGACAGTGGATCAGTGTTTAGATGCCAGTTGATGGGAAAATGCCAGATAGTTATGAAATATCCTTACAGAGGCAAAATGTCACAATAATGACCCCATGTGCAAACTGCTGAGTATTCATCTTCATGCCAAAGGGATGAAATCACATATAATCATAATCTAAGTCTATGCTTAAAGATTTTATTTTACCTGTTGGATAGATAAAAAAGTAACAAAAACAACATTTAATTGCTGATTTAGTATGTATGGGAGATGTGACTGATGATTTTGGGTTGTTCTATTCTAAGCTTTATTTTTTATTTTGTTTTAACCATATGCACTTTAGTGCATTTATTCTTGAGTCACCTGGTTAAATGAACTGAACAGTTTCAATGAACTTAATTTTAACAGTTTCATTTTAAGAAATAAAAAAAAAGTCTCTATTTATTTCATAATATAATCTTACTGATATTTTTCATTAAAATGATATTACCAAATGCTAAAAGAAATTCACCATTTAATTTTTTTAAAAATGGGTTTGTTTTCTTTTTTGATTTTTTGGGGTTTTTAATTTTGTTTTAGGTAGCATCTGCTTATTTTAAAGACTTTCATCTACTGCTGATTGGAGTAATTTGTTTGGCAACGTCAATAGAAAAATGGAATCTTCACAAAAGGGTGGCTTTAAAAATGGTGATGCTGGTGGGTGTCAACCCTGCATGGTATGTGCTAAACAATGTCTTGAAGGACAATAACACTTGTGGAAAGCTATGTGTTCCAGAAATAATTTCCTACTGCTTTTTCTACAGTAGAAATCCAACCTTTCTTTTCTACTTGAACAAAGTAGATATTTAAATTGATATGAATGGTTTATAGGTGACATTTTAATATTTTGTTGAAACCCTAATTGAAAGTTCCCTGCAGTACTTCTGTTCATAATAAGGATCCTTCTGAACAAAAAGTATGATTAGTTTGTGAATAATATAGGGGTCCTGTTTCTTGATGGTCGTTGGAACATTCCCACCCAATGCCTACAACATAAAATCTGTTCTGTGTCAAATTGTTTTATTTTAATAGTGTTCTCATCATTCTGGACATTCCCAAATATGCAAAACTAATTGAAATACATAGTGAGGGAGAAACAAAATCATAAAACTAAGCAGGTGGTGGGGAAGGAAAAACACATTAATATAAGGTCCTTACTTAAGGTGTTTTCCTTTGTCTACATATGAAAAAATATCAAAGGATAGGCACTTCTTCAGCTGGATGAGGTTCTAAGGGAAAAGAAATCACAATCTCTGCTTACTCACTCTGAACATATATCTTAGGAAGTGAAAGAATTGTTCTCTGCTTGCTTTACAAACTTGCAGAAAAGGTTTAGGCTGACAGAGTCATCTGCCAGCGTACCAGTAAGGCTGCACATAAGATCTATGGAGCAAGATTAGCCTCACAGAATAAATCATGCTCAGGACTCCTTGCCATGAAGCAGAAAGGAAACAAATGTTCAGAAAACCAGAAACCCCAGGTGTAAAAAATAAGGTGCCTCTTAAGTGATTTAATTAATGACACTTCATAGGAATGCTGAATTATTTCTATTCCTCAGTAATTTGACTGACCTTATTTTAAATATCACATGTATTTTGATTTAGTTCTGCCTCTTTTGATAGCTGGTAGCTTTCTCTTTGGAAAAAATCCTGTGTTCAGCTCTAGGCCCCTCACTACAGGAAGGACATTGAGGTGCTGGTGCAAGTCCAGGGAAGGACAATGAAGCTCATGAAGGGTGTGAAGCACGAGTTTTATGAGGAGCAGCTGAGGGAGCTGGGGTTCTTTAGTCTGTAGAAAAAGCATCTCAGGGGTGACCATATGACTCCCTGAAAGGAAGCTGTAGCCAAGGGAATGTCAGCCTCTTCTCCCAGGTGAGAAGTGAAAGGACAAGAGAAAATGGCTTCAAGCTGTGTCAGAGGAGGATTAGATTGGGTAAAAGGAAAAATTTCTTCAGTGAATGGTTGGTCTGGCATTGAAACTGGATGCCAAGGGAAGTGATTGAGTCATGATCCATGAGGTATTTGAGGATGTGTAGATGTGGCACTTAAGAACATAGTTTAGTGTTGGACTTGGCAGTGTTATGTTTATGGTTGGACTTGATGATCTTGAGGGTTTTTCACAGCCCAGATTATTCTGTGATCATGGCTTTCTGTCATTTGAGCTATGCAGTAAAGTCTGCAGACTAGCAGAGAAATGTGAATACATCTATGCAACCTGCAAGGACTAGAAAGGATAATAAAATACTGATTGTGCACTGCAAAAGCAAAGAGTGACTTTATAGTTGTATATAATGAAATAGTTACCCAAGATTCCATGCATGATAATTTTTCAACAATACCACAGAGAAAATAATGCAGAAAACTGGGGCTGAACAGGATAGGATATATTTTATTATTTTGTAATCACTTTTAGAGTTTCTCAGTAGAGCCCACCACATTGTACCAAATGGTCACCTGACCATCCATTGTACCCGACCATCAACCCATCCAGTGCTGGAAATTTATGATGAATAGTTTTGAAATACATTAGTGAATGCCTTAATAAATCCTCTTGCAAGTTCTACTAAAATGGCATTTTTCTACAGTGTGAAAATTCATCTTCAGTGTGCATATTCTGACCCATATTTTCTGAAGAAGAAACACAATTCTTCCTCAACTCCTGTCTGAGGACCTAATGGAAAACTGCCTAAATTAATAGGTTTTACACTACTGATGACAATTTGTGTTGAGTAAGGTCTGTGACTTACTGGTCTACAGATCACTTCATCACTATACAATTAAAAGTCCATAGGGAAAGACAAGGTTCCCCCACAGAGGAAAAAAAACTAGTTTGAAATGTTTTTACTTTTAGCTGAAATTAAAGGCTATGAGGGACATTTTGATTTTTTTTTTACATCATCAAATAATGTTTACATGATTTTTATATAATTTCTGTATTGGCTTCATGTACTAAGTAGATCTGACATTTTTTCTGAAGCTTCTGATCAAGGCTGGGTGAAGAACTTTACAAATTGTGCAGATGTCTTCTGAGAGAAAGGTGCAACACCACCATCCCTCCACTGAGTTCTCTTGCTGTGATGATGTGTGGCAGGTGTTTAATGTCAGTAACAGCGCCTGGGAACAGGGAGTCAAGAGGGCTGTTCACATTTCCCACCCCAAGAAATGTGTTAAAAACAACATTGTGACCTGTATTCATATTTTACAATCCAACTTCACCAGGAATGACCTGGAATGTTTGATTTTTCAGTCATTGATGCAGTTCAGTGTATTGCATTATTACTTGTAGTAAACTTAGAAAAAGCTGAGCCAAAACCAGATTAAGGAATTGTAATGACCTTCGCTTTCCCATTTAATATTAAAGATGACATTTATTGAAGCCCAAACAATGCCCACACTTGTCTTGGTGCTCTGAATAAGAACTAAGTTTTGTACCGCTTCTGAATTTTTAATATTTCTTCCTATAACAACTGAATTGGTATGTCTAGAGTCCAAGTGATAATTCCAGGGTTTTGACTTGGACTGTACAATACAAGATTAATAACTTCAGCAGTGTAGCCATTTTGACTCTCATTTGAATTTGAGACATGCTTGGTGCTCTTTCTTCAAAAATTGTTCAAATATTGTAGAATTCTGTAAATAAATATTATTGCTTCTGCTACAATTTATAACATATCTGAACCTTAAAATATAATCATTTCAGTATCTTAGATTGAGACAATTTTAATTTAAAAATGTTCTCAAAATTATAAGCTTTAAATTTTCAGTGTTTCAGCATTTCTGTTGACAAAGTTCTCTATTTATATGAAATAGACTGATGATAGGAGGTGTAACTGTAGCAGTCATAGACTCTTCTCTCCTATTCCAGGCTTATGCTGGGTTTCATGGTTAGCTGTGCTTTCTTGTCCATGTGGCTCAGCAACACCTCCGCTGCTGCCATGGTGATGCCAATCGTAGAAGCTGTAGCCCAGCAGATCATCAGAGCTGAAGCAGAAGCTGATGAGCTGGAGATGTCCTGCTCTAATGGCTCCACCAACCCAGCACTGGAGCTGGACGGTAGGCACACGCTGCAGTTCTGTCTTTGCCACCCTCACTCAGCAGTCATTGACACACCAAGCACAATTAAATGGCCTGAGGAGTACTTGTATCATCACATGCTTCACTGTGAGACTTCTCTTGGATTACTGTGTGTGAGCTCTCTCATGGTCACAAAGATTAGTTAAAACTGGACAGGTGCAGAAGGTGGCAGTTGGATGAGAGGAGTGGGACAAGGGAGGGGCAAGCAGGGGCTGGCTTATCAGCTTCATAAGCTGGCTGGAAAGAAATATGACTCCAGGTTATAGATACTCTAAGGCTTAAATGTTAGCACAAAAAAGGAAATCTCTAAGCTATAGGGTAATGTTGGCAGAACAACTGAATCTAGACTGATTACCTACACAGTGGGACTGTAAACTAGAAATATTTCTCCTCTTTAGAAGATTCAGATTCTGAGGAACAGGAGTCATGAAGGACTAGGGTACATATCAATATCAACTGTTTCTGAAATTGGTAATTGGCAAATGTATTGATGGGATGATGTGAAGTAAGTGCATGGGATGAGACATGCCGATGGAGCCTTTTTCAGTTTTACTCCCTTAAATGCTCTTCTGTCTTTGCATCACTGTCTTACAGAAAATATAGGAGAATATGAAAACCCAGATTGGAAAGAGAAAGAAAAACAAGTTAATGGGTAATTGCTATTAATTCTGTCCTAAGAATTCATCTAAATAGAATATCTGTTTGTTATAATACATGCCTTTGTTTTTCCAGCTATAACAACAATGTGGGCAGTACTGTATGCACAGTTGNAATTACATCTAGTAACAAATTAATAGTATCTTTATGCATTTTTTATATATCCTCCTAAGGATATTTTTATATATCCTCTTAAGTTCAATTAAGAATTCTGATTCTTTCCACAAAAATGGCATGGCCATACAATATTAATTTAGAGCTTGCTTTGAACCTGAAAAAGGTAATTACTTCAGAATAAAGGAGCAGGGGATGGTGCAGGTCAAACCTCATGATTAGTGATCCCTAATCTTTCATGCGGTTAGAATTTAATACGGAATCAAATTCAAATGAAACAAATTAGAAGAGCCCTAAAATATGGTTCAGTGCAATTCTGGGATTGCTTTATTTTAAAAGAAAATATTAATGGTTAAGCAATTACTGATTAATATTTTTGTCTTCTGTATTACTTTAACAAACAGATTACAGAAATCAAAGGGGGATTTTTAGTGTGATTTCACATCTGAATTTTGATCTTTTTTCAATGGAATATGTTTTCCTTGAAATACATGTTTTCCTTTTCTGTTGATTAAATGACAGATACAAATCTGCTCTCTTGTTAGGAAGCTCATCTTGCATCCCACAAGAAATCAATTTTTTGCTAGAAAAAAACCCATTTGCAACATGGCATGTAAGCCTCATGTTGCCTAAATCATAAGACATTAAGGGGATTGCTCCCCAACTGAATGAAACCTCCTTATCTAGATTAAGAAGGATACATGCAGGTTAATTCCGTGGCTAAGAGAGAATTTGCACTTGGTCAGTTTCCATCTCATGAAAACTTTTGAAAACTAATTTTTCAGGTGATTTTTTTTCTGCCTCTCCATTACTTCCTCAGAAAATTCCTCTGATAGTAAAAGAAGTAATCTATGAAAATACATTCTTATCAAGGAGAATTTACTCTCCAGAGCTGAGCTGCCTTTGTTTAACATGACAGCAGTAGGCCTTGGGCTTGGGCAGTGTGAATAGGGGGACAATGCAGGTTCAGATAGAAACATCCCAGCACTGCTTCTGAATTTTGGACTGTTCTGAAGACATGTTATTAATGACATAGCTACCCTAATATTCTGTGGTTAATTTCAGTAGGTAGTGAAATATGTACACATGGATATGGGCATGAAGAGGAGAGCAGAGATTGTTTTCACTACTTCTACTCTACCCTGGTGGAGGTTATTTGGCTGCAGACTCCTCTCCTTGATGCAGTTTCAGCCTGAAATTTAACTCTGTTAACAGGAAATTTCCTCAGCCATTCTGAATGGGGCTGGAGATGTGAAATGTGTGCAAGTACTTTATCCTTTTATTCAAGCAGAAGCTTTTTCCTTGAGCCTGGCCCACACTTACTGCCAGTAAAGTGCTTGGTGTCCTGGCAGTGTAGGAGGTGCTCTGCCAACCCAAATTTGTTTGCTATGAGGAAAAAGAGGAATATGTGCAGCTAACTCCAAGGCTTAAGAAGTCAGTTCTACTGCAAGTTGAAGCAGGGGGCAATGGGAGTACTTGTGTGGTTTGTTTTGATGGTAGACATCATATAAATTTTTTATGAGAAAGTCAAGATTACAAAGAATCCCTGCGTAAATACATTTGTGCCTTTATTGTCCAAAATTAGCATAAGATTAGGAAATAAAATCTTGAATAAGATTAGCCCAGCTTTGATCTGGCTATGAACCATTCTCAGGACCTTACAGAAATAAATGACTGAAACAATTTTATTGTTGATGATAAGCTGAAAGTTCCAAGAGAGACAAAGAATGACTGAATATTTAAGAAAGGAACAAGGAAAACAGAACTGAATGTTGGTTAAATATATTACTGTTAATGTGAAAACTGTGGATAAAGTCATCTAGCAGTTTGATAAACTTTATAAAAACAAAGAGTACATAAGAAGACTGATAGAAAATATTTTCCCCTGAACTCAAAAGTATTATGAAGTCAAACATTTATACATTATGAGATGCATTTATTCATGTGTTTTTTTAACATGTGGACATTTATGACAAACAGATACTATTCAGAAGAACAAAGTATTAATGTGAAGTTTTGGGTCAAGGTGGGAGAAGATCTAATAAAGAATTCTAAAAATCTCCAAAAGAGAAAATAAAATTATGTAGAAACTTGATTAACAAAATATCACCTGGGGGGAAAATGTGAGAACTTACAAAGTGTATTAATAAAATAAAAATATAAATGTCTTTTACTGAAAGGAAACAAACTTTTAAGATCATTAGTAATTAAAAAAAAAAAAAAAAGAAAAAAAGTAAGATCAAATCTAAGAATGATCAGTTACACCACTGAGAAATTTCATATAGTTACATCTATCAATTAAAAGTTCCTACATAATTTTGACAAACTACCTTTACTAAATTTTGTATTTCACCAGAATAAATTTATCCAAGGAAGTGAATTTGAACTTTGCTCTCAGTCAAGCGTAATAGTTAATGGTTTTGGCTGATTACCATCTTTCCTCAACAATAACACAACTGATCAAATATCTTAGATAAAAGCCAGCATGGTTGATGGTATTAGCATGTCATCATCACACAGACAACATCAATTATGAGAAGTATCATTCTTCAACTTCCAATTACCTGTCATCACCTGGAATAATTAAAAATGAAAAAACTGCCAAATGATTGTGGGAAAGGATTTAAATATATTTTTTTCTCATGTCTCAACAGACACCATTATAGTGCTACTGACTCACATTTTTTTGATAAAAGTTCACATCAAAGATTTTGCAGTCATGAAGAGAAATCCCCTGCAAACAAAGACACCTTTTACAGTGCCATTGTAGGCAGAATTTTTTCCTTATCATCCTTATTATTTTTTCCTTTCCTTTATCCTTACAAATCTGTATTAACTCTACCACAATCTCTATCCTTTCATGAGGAATGAGCACATTTCAGTAGGAAGAGGTATGAAAACTCTGTGCTATTAGAGAATTAGACCATGGTGCAAGACAAACAGTTCTGCCTTTATAGCTACTCCACTGTGCACATGAACTCTCCCAGGCTGCGAGAGTGTCCCTTCTGGAAAGAAAGCCCATCCATGCAGATCCACTGCAGATTAAAGCTTTTTGGGTTCTCACAGCACCAACTACATGTCATTCAACAAGAATAAATATGGAGCCATATTTTAAGGAGGAAAAAAATTGTTAAATGATAAATTAGGCCTATAAATGCTTCAAGGTTTGCGTTCTGATTTTGTGCCAGGGGCACTTGACATCAGCCCAGAGGATATGGCTCTTCCAGAATGGGTTTATTGCCTGTTCAGGCAATGAGCAGAATATGCAGGAAGACTAAAAGCTTATTAAAGCTTCCGGGTTTTTCCAGCCAATGCTGGTTATTGGCAAGGGTAGTTTGCCAGAATATGACAGATGTCACTTGCCAAAAGGCATGCGTCTGTTGTCCTTAAAAGGAGCACATTTGACACCATATACAGGAGTCTGAGGCATTCAATGAAGCCTCTGGAACAAGGGTGGAGAAAATCATTGGGCAAACTGGAAGTACGGCAGCTCCTTCATCAAGAGGACTGTACTTACAGAGAGGTCCTGGCCAAGTAAATAACATGCTGTGAAAGCTCACTTGCAGGCTTGCAAGTGTCCAGGATGGGTTCTGAATATGTAGAATTTGACTCATGATTAACCTGGTTAATGTCATGCTCCATCCAGGAAAAGCTCCCAGGAGAACTTGTTTGCTGTAGGCACAATATCTCATTGATGAAGCTAAATTGCTTTCAGCTCTGATGTTAAACTGCTTACAGCTACTTCAGAGGTGAAATAAAGCATTATCAAACTGGTTGAGAGAAGCAGATTGATGTAGAGACAGAATTAGTATAATGAATCTTAAGTGTCACAGATTCACAAAAATCACAGAATCTCTAGGTTGGAAGAGACCTTTGAGATCATCGAGTCCAACCCAGCCCCAACACCCCAACCCAGCCCTAATACCTCAACTAGACCACGGCACTGAGTGCCACACCCAGTCATTTATCAAACACATCCAGGGACGGTGACTCCACCAGGTCCCCAGACAGACCATTCCAGTACTTTATCACTCTTTCCATGAAGATCCTTTTCCTAATATCTGACCTGTATTTCCCTTGGCACAGCTTGAGACTGTGTCCTCTCATTCTGTCAATTGCTGCCTGGAGAAAGAGACCAATCCCCACCCCCTGACTACAGCCACCTTTCAGGGAGTTGTAGAGGGTGGTAAGAGTGATAACAGTCTCCTTTTCTCCAGGCTAAAAAACCCCAGCTCCCTCCGTCGTTCCTCACAGGGTTTGTGTTCCAAGCCCCTCACCAGCCTCGTTGCCTCCTCTGGATGTGCTCAAGCATCTCAACGTCCTTCCCAAACTGAGGGGCCAGAACTGGACACAGAACTCCAGGTGTGGCCTTACCAGTGCCCAGTACAGGGGAAGAATGCCCTCCCTGTTCCTGCTGGCCACACATTCCTGATCCAGGCCAGGGGCCATTGGCCTTCTTGGCCACCAGGGCACACTGCTGGCTCATGTTCAGCTGCTGTCACCAGCACCCCCAGGTCCCTTTCTGCCTGGGCACTGTCCAGCCACACCATCCCCAGCCTGAAGTGTTGCAGGGGGTTGTTGTGGCCAAAATGAAGGACTCAGCACTTGGACTTATTAAACTTCATCCCACTGGACTCTGCCCATCCATCCAGCCATTCCAGGTCTCTCTGCAGAGTCCTCCTCCCTTCCAACAGATCAACACACACTCCCAGCTTAGTGTCATCTGCAAATTTACTAATGAAAGACTCAATATCCTCATCCATGTCATCAATAAAGATATTGATCAGAACTGGCCCCAGCACAGACCCCTGAGGGACACCACTGGTGACTGGCCCCCAGCTGGGTGCAGCACCATTCACCACCACTCTCTGGGCCCGGCCATCCAGCCAGTTCCTAACCCAGCACAGAGTGCTCCTGTCCAAGCCTAGGCTGCAGCTTTTCCAGGAGTGTGCTGTGGCAGACAGTGTCAAAGGCCTTGCTGAAGTCCAAATAGACACATCCACAGTCTTTTCTGCATCCACCATGAGGTCACCTGGCCATATTGGTCAAACACAACCT